TATATATATATATATATATATAATTTTTTATTGTTTGCTTTGATTGAAGTTTTGCTTATGGTAGTCTTTTAATTGATATATTAAACAAGGATTTTCCAATGATATTTTAAAATTTCGTTATAGAATAAAATTCTATTTTATATGAAACAAAAAAAATGGAGTATTCTCAATTATCTATCTAAACTGTCCATATTTTATGGAATCAACAAGCATTTGGTGTCTAGCTTTTGGCATTCTTAATTAAATCAACATGAGTAAGAAGGTTGTTAGTAATTTTCGTGTTCTCAAGCTTTTGTGCGCGCTATTTGAAAACTATATATTTTGCACCTATCTGGACTTCTAAACTTGCTTATTAATTGATAATTATGCATATATCTACTTAATTAACTTTCGGTAAATTATATTAATCGTAGAACAAATTTCAACTTTAATACAATTAATATAAAAATGATTTTCTTAAGCTTAAATAGAGTTTATTGGAAGCAACTGCAAATGAACAATTAGAAGAATTAATAGAGCATTTAGAAGAAATTCATTCAATTCGAGAGTTATATTCGACAATTTGGAAGTCAGAGATCTAAATTACATATTTTTGGAATGTAAGATGGATTAATTTCGGACTATTATGAAGTTTTGGGGACTAATATGGAAGATTTTGGAATTTTCAATATCACAATTGAAGATTACAATGAAAAAGGACAAAAATCATATAAAAACATAATATGGGGACATCCATAATTGAAAATTCAGGAGTTGACCGTGGTCCAGCCCAAACCACTTTTTTGCCTAGGCTGGACCCATCTGGCCTGATTGCTGAGTTTTGTTATTTTTTAGTTTTCTTGATTGCTTTTGATTCATTTTCAAAGCACAACTACCAAATTTTTTCCACCCTATAAATTGACCTTATTTAGGTCATAAAAAGAGGTTTAATCATATAAAACTATAGATAAAGGGACAAAAAAAAAAAAAAATCAAGAAAGTAGGATTTATAGTTCTTAACTTGGAGAAGAAGATTCTTAATGCAAGAGCATCAACTTTTTCTCATTTATATCCTTCAAACCCAATGAGATACTTTAATTTTTTCTTTTATATTTTCTAGTTGCAAGATTATCAAATTAATAATTACCATTTTTTCCTTTAAAAAACCGATTTGTAAATGTCAGATTTAGTACATGTTTTTTTTTATGTTGGTACGTGAGCCATCCTTATCAATGACAATTTTCCTAAATTTTCATTTTTCTTTCAAGAAAATTGAATTACATCTTTACAATAGCCAAATTCAATGGCTCTAGTCCTCTAATTTCACTCTGTAAGTGATA